TTTTATTTATTTATTTTTTTTATTTTTTTTTTTTTTTTCTAATCAAGCAAACGTGTATACAAAAGGTAGAAGTACAAATCAAAATCAAGCTTTCTCCTCCAATCATCGGCGCTAAATCGATCCTATATATCATATACATATGTGGGTACATAGAATACGCACTCTGGCACACATATCCACAAGACACCAACTGTTATAATCCCCGTGCCGTGCATCGTGCATCCGGTCAATCACGAGAAAATAACACATGTATCCCCTTGGTTATATATATATATGTATGTACATGTATAAAAATATGCGTCGAGCATCGCGACGCGTACACCATAATGTATAGTGTATATCATGTTATACCGTACGTATACGCGTTTCATTTCCGGCCTCTATACTCGTGTATACCGCGTAGCCGTCACTCAGGCATGTCAATCCTGTATACGCGTATGACAACAAGTAGTGCAGCACACGTTACATCTATGTACCTATATTATTCCCCACATCGGCTGCCAATTCGCCGATTGGACTCGATACGCTTATACTATATATATACGCTTGATAAGCTGTATATATACACATCTCACCTGTATAATATACACATATATATTATATTCGTACACTGCACCTCCCACGCTCCCTTTCTTTCACATTCTCGTTTTACTGTACACATATCGTTGTAATTATTATTATTATTTTCTTTTTTATATAGCAACACCTTCGGCATCGTAGAGCACTCGGGGGTACACACAATTTTCAAATTTTCGAAAGATTTTCGCACCGTGCAAGTACACACGAGTGTACACAAAGTAAAAAAAAACAAAAAAAAAAAAAAATCAACCTTTTTCTCACGAGTCGCAATCAACGCTCAAGTTTGCACAACGAAGAGTCGCGCAAACACACAAGAAAAATCAACCTTTTCCCGCACCGTCAGTTATATTGACTTGTGTTTGTGTATTCAACTGCAGAGACGGAGAGATGGCTCTCCGAAGTTCTTGGAATAAAAACTAAACTCGACATCTGCTCGAGAGCAAAACCTTTTTTTTTGTGTTTGTGTTCTGCCGAACGTCATCTGCATTTGAATGAAACGGAAAATTTTATTTTCTTGGAGATGAGAAGAAAAGTAAATGAGCTTATTATATTTTTGGAGTTTCACTCCGAAGCAACAGATATCGATCCGACCTACACACTGTATCTTACGTGACGCAATTAAATGAGGTCGGCGAACTCCCTAGAGTTTATCCTTTTTTTTTTTTTTTCTTTTTTTTTAATATTCCGCAACGGTTGCGAGTGCATCTATTCATAGAACATTAACCACTTGACCTTTTTTTTTAAAAAGCATGCAAAACTCAATTTGAGAGATGAATTACTAGCATCGTCGAGCTCAAGCTAATAAAAATGGAACAAGGTTTGTTTGGAACTTTGTATACTTACTATAACTTGTCAATAATTGTTGATTACATGAATAATTATTGTCATTCAATGGTGTATCGATAAAAATTAAAATTTAAAAATGAATCATGTTAAATGCAATGAAAGATGATGCGGTTGATGATGTTTCATTATTAATATTACATATATCCATGACCATGCATCAATGACCTTTAACTGAACTATAAATATCATCGCGTATGTATTGTTTGCACCAGTACTCGCGTTATAAATACATTCCCTCTTTATTTATGAGAGTACAGAGCTGTGACATATAAAGAATGGATGTACCTTATAAATCAGAATAAATAAAAAAGGTTTCAATTTGGAGCCTTAAAACACAGGCACCATAGATCTTTGGATAATACTTATTGAGCGTTGGGTTCGTAAATCTCGCGGGGGAGCTGAACTCAATTTAGGCCAATCTAAGAAGACGTGACTTATATGTGCACATGAATAATGGCGTAATAAGATAATAACATCAACACACCGTCGTCAATAAACGGCATTCAAGTTTTTTGGTCCAAACGAATTTGACACTGTGTCGACCTGGTGAATAAAAAAAAAAAATAAAAAATAATAATCTCAGATTTTGTAATTGCGCGACGACTGATTTCGTATGAAGAAAACAAACACGGAGCCCAGCATAAATATAGTTCAGCGGAAACGTCACAGATGAGACGGGCCGCCAAAAGCGGACATCAGCTGGCAATAAGTAAAAAAGGAGCATCGAGTGGGGGGACTCACCTGGCGTGCCTCCTTGGAAGCGGGGGCGGCACGGGATTGTGGTAATTGTCCATCATCGCGTACGAGTCCCTGTCGGCCGGCTCGAGTTTTTGCGACTGCGATGGCTCCTGCTGCTCGTAGCTGTCGAGCTGGTCCAGCCGTAGGAGCTCCGCGTCGCGGGGCGAGTGGAGCTCGCAGTGGGCTACGTGTAGCAAAGGCCTGAGGCTGGAGCCGCCCTCGCGCTGCTGCTGTTGGAGCGACGGGGGTGTCTGGGGCTGCTGGACCACCCCACCGACGCGCGAGGGCGGCCCCTCCCGGAGCAAGCCCGGGGGGGCGGTGGCCACCGGGTCTAGGCCATTGGCGAGCCGGTACTGGTGCTCCTCGCCCCAAATCTCGAACTCACCGGCGGCCGAGTAGTCGCCGAAGCCCGACGTCTCCTTCAGGGTGGAGCGGGCGGCTGAGCTGCTGGTGGAGTGGCCGCTGCTACCCCCAGGCCCCCGGGCCTCGAGGCTCGAGGAGCCCGAGCCCGAGCCCGCGCACCGCTCCTCCCGCCTGCGTTTGCGACTTATCTTGAAGGAGAGGCGGCAGCGGTGGCCCGAGCCGCCAAAGACCTAGCTCTCCGACCGGGGGGGAGCCCTTTCGCGCGCTCGATCGTCCACGCTCACCGGCTGCCACCCGGGACTACAGCACCAGCCGCGCACATCACTCTCGATCTTCACCGATCTCTCTTTTTTTTCGCTATACGAAATACTGCGGTCAGTCACTCAGTCTTTGTATATACCTATGTTATACAAATATGGTAAATAACCTCGCGCACAGACACAAGTAAACAAACAAACACGGGTCACTCGCGGCGAGGAGCCTCCAGGATCGATCATCCACTGCGGGCCTCCTTCGCCTCTTCCTTCTCCTGCCCGATGCTGCTGTGCACTGCGGCAGCGCTGGCGTATATCCCCCTCTCGCTCCTCTAATTGGGTCAGGCGCCGGCGCTAAAGCCCACCTCGATCCTCCTTCGTCTCCCCTCGTCCTCGTAGTCCTGGCTGGACATGAACGACCCGTGCCAATGGAATCCTTGGTGGCTCGCGTCCACGCAGTTGTTGTCACTGTAACATCACTGCAGCTGAAGGAGCGGTATAGGTACAGTGCGTTGTGTTATGGCTGTTGTATGAATACACCCGGCACAAACAGCTCCGATTTGAAGACTGACTGAACCGAGAGAGCAGACTGAGCGGACGAGAACAAAACGGGAGAGAGGGCAGATTCCCTGTGTGTACGTGTATGAATATATATATATACGTTTGTGTACGCAGAGCGGAGGCTGCGCGATGTACAGAGAACGCGAGCTGGCTGCTGTGTGTGGTAGAGAAGTGGAGTGACACCGTCGGAGCGCGCCGCGCGCCATAGCCGTTGCTTCCCCCACTTCTTCCCATGGCCCTTACGCAGCCATACCGTGGTGTATACATATATATATGTGTACATGTAAAAATCTCCGAAAAGTCACGAGATTGAGATAATCGTTGTTTATTTAATTCTTACTTTTTGCACGGTTCTAGTATTATTACCTTCCATGGATTTAAAATCGCTCATTTATTATTACGGCATTGTGTTAAACTTCGATCGAGTTTTACCATGTATTCTATAGAAAATGACACTTTGAAAAGAGTGATGGCGCTTCGCAAATTATACTTATTGTGTACTTTTTTTTTTTTTCTTTTTAAGGAAATGTAATAATAATAATAATAATAATAATAATTGCACGTTATTTAACTTGGCTTGCGAGTGATTCGAGTTTGCCTCATTATTGGTAAAAGTTTGGGAACAAACGATAACTGCCCACTTTATTAAGTCGTTGATTAAATAAACCATTTTTATTCGAAAATGTCCATAATTACACCAGAGTTCAGATTACAAGCCTTGTTTCAACAGTATTGTCGATTTTTCTCCAAACGAATATTTCAACTTTGTTTCCTTCCGTACATGATCATTATTTCTTATATTTTTTTTTTTTTTTTTTCAATGCCAATTGTATTGTCAATGCTACCATAAAACAATGTCCTGTTTTGTTTTACCCGCGATGTACAACTAGATATTTTTTTATTTACCATCGAAGCAGTTATTGGGTGTAAAAAATCGGCATAAGCTATCGTTCCAAAAAAGATGTAGAAAGCACCAAAGACAAACTTCAAACTAATAAGCCCTTCCATGGAGTCACGCATCATTTAGATTTCAATCACAAAAGTATAATAGTTTTACATCAACCAAACAATATTTATCAACGATGATATATGATAAAATCCTTACGTATGTATCGTACTCACAATCGATTTCAGATAACTTCCCCAACCTGTTCAACATATTGTATGGGCAATTTTACCAATTCCGAACTTACAGATTCTCTCAACTGCCTGCAAATACGTTAAAACTATAAATTAATGATGTAGTTGTAAAATTGTATTGAGAAGGTAAGCATTTTTCAAAGTTTTCCATACCCCCTTGACTCGAAAAGTGTTTTTTCATAGATTTGTACATTCGTACGTATATCCCGAGGCGCTGCAGGGCGCGCATATATCTCTCCCCCTGTAACCCTGTATACACTCGGCGCTTGCGCTCGCATGCCAATCCTGCTCTCTCGCTCCCACTCACTGCCGATCATGCAGGTTATATTCTGCTCGCTCCGACGCTCATGCCGCAGCACACACGGCGCAAGGGTTCATGAATAAAAGTAAAGGTTGACAGGAGCAATGGTAGGTATACAGCCAAGGATGCGACTCACATCATGTGAGGTAGGTATAGAGGCGCGGAGAGCAAAGTGCCCACTGCGCAGCCCCCACAGTGTCCCTACACACACGCACACACAAGCGCAGGACGCGAAGGGTCATTGCGATCCTCGCGCCGCCGGGCGTCCTTTGCGCTCAATTTTACTCTGCCGCGGCGTGTCCCCGTACATATATGTATACGGCCGCGTGAGGATCATCCGCGAAGGAGAGCGCGAAAACGCAGATCCACGGGTAAGTATTGGGTGTGGCGTTTTTGGGATTTTTTAAAACTTAATTTTCCCGCACGCACCCTCCAAGTGCCCGAGGAGGACGGGTGTACATCATCATCATCTGCCATGGACGCCGTTTGTCTTGTGCCGCGCGGGAAGAGCGGAGCGTATACTCCTCGGCTGCAGCGTGAGAGATTCTTATCTATCGTCGCTTGGAGTTTTGCAAACGCTTTTCCCGAGCACGCGAGCTCTTCGGCCCACGGGTTTACTCACAAAGGGATCGCGTGTCCTTCCTCAAGTTTGTTCGGACTTGAAAAGCCATACACGCGTTTCGGATAATGATTACGTCTTTGCCTCTTTTCTTTTTTTATATATATACGTATATATTATAACTATTATTATTTTCAATCGTACATAGTCGCATTGTTTTCCTCGGATCTCAACTGTATAATGGATTGCGTTGTATATGTGGGTAAAGCTTGCATTTAATTCATCACGATCGAAATCGGCATTTTATTGTCAGGTTGTACATTGTTTCCATTCATCGTGCCCGTACGTAGGTACACCTAATAGGTATACATTTTGCAATGACGACGTATATTTTAATCGCGCAAACGGCAATCGTAACTTCAATGGAATCGATATGATAAAACAAATTAAATTACGATGAATTGTACACTTTACTATATAGTTAATCAAAAGTTTGCCCCAACCGTTTTGCCGCGCGTTAATTATGGTACCCCATCCAATAATATCCGCGATGTATATACGCGCGATCAGGTTGCCCACAAGATTGTATGCGTTATACGCGCGCACACCTCCTGTACAGCTGATTATACACAATACACGTATTTTATGTACGGGTATGTAGATACACTACATATATACATATACCCTGCGAACTAACTAGAGTTCCTACAGCTGATGGAGGATGGGTTATATTGCGTGCGTAGGTATATGGGTGGAGTGAGTAAATGTATGCATGTAGCAGAGAGATACGCGGGGGCCGGGGGCTCGATGAAAGCTCACGAGCGATCGCGCCAATGTACATGGCAAAGGGGCCGCCCTCGTGCATGCCCTACCTTAGGTACACACTCATATGTGTTCACGTGTAGTTTTGCACGCGCTGTACATAATGTATACACGATGGGGTGGGGGGGAGGGGGGGGCAAGGGATTTTTGATTCAAGGACCGGGTAGGTATACCCAGCGGCAGGGAGAATCTGTTGCCCAGCGAAAGGGGGAGCCAATAATTCACGAAAAGGGCTCCTCGGGATTCTCGAAAATTTTTTTTTGAAGTTCAGGGAACGTAGGTATACCTTTACTCGTGTACATATTGCACGCGCTCTTCCCTCCACTCTATATATATAATACTTTCGGAGCGGGGGAAAGGGTAAATCCGGGATCAAATTGATTTAGCTGGCCTCCCGGTACGCGTATATTTGTGTACCCTCGCCTATCTCTTTTTTGCTACATCTACAGGGACGTATACATAAGGGTTCTGGGCGCGCACAAGCTCATCTATAATAATACAACATACGGCAACCATATGCAATATAGGAGTACAAAAAGTATAGGCACACCTATACCTACCTTGTACCTGTAAGCGATTAGTTATCGATTCGGCATATAGCTGCTAGTTCGCGATGATTGCGGCGATTAGTGACTTTTGTGCGCTGGGAGGGGACCCGAAGCTGCAATTATATACGCACATCATCAACGGAGCGTCGAGAGAGTGTGCTGCTGGCCCCATTGTTATGGTAATGAAGGCGCGAGGGAAGATGGAAAAATTAATGGCACACGACCAGTGACGCGTATACTCAATCTCGCGCCCTCGCCCATACAATATACACACCTGTGTATATGCATACGGGAGTGCCCAACGAGCTTCATAATGTACCCCCTTCACCCTTCGGTCGGTACAGCGTTGCAGGGAAAATATATAAAGCTCTGCAGCGAGCTGCCATCCCCTCTATATACATATATATGCTTGCACCCTTCGTCTACTCTCCGCTGGCGCCCCGTAACGAACAAAATCAATTTGGGTCAGTTGCCGATGGAATCGAGTTTGCTGATTCGAAATTACACGCGAGCCCGCATAGGCCGGTTCGTTAAAAACAAAAAAAAAACGGTGAGCGCCGGGAGGAGGGAAGAAAAAAAAGCTCTCGGGGGTAAACAAGTTAGCAACATCATCATCATCATCGCTTCACAGACTGGTATGGGTGCACATGTATATTACATTGACAAAGGCGGTGCGACGTGTGCCTATACAGTATATATGGACAGAGCGTACTATAAAAGTTGGTGGTGGGGGGGGGGGTGGACTGATGATGGGTTGTCGCTTCAGCTGGTAGGCGATAAAGTTGACGGATCACTCTAATTTTGTTTCAAAGGATTTAACGCGAAAGTTTCGGAAAAATGGGAGAGCACGTGGCTGCGAGATATGTAGCGCGGTAATTTTCACGGGTGAAAACAGACGGGAAAAATTATACGGCGCTAAAACGTGCGCTTCGACATGGAAATCCAGTGAA